TATATGTAGTAATATGTCTGATATGGAGGTTGAAGGAGGCGGCATCGATCCTCCGGATATATCCGGAGAGTCGGTAGGTACTGTTGCCGCCATCCCCTGACCCTTTTACGTCATTTACTCCTACAAGTTCTGGTAGTAAACGCAAACATTGTACAGCATTGTCTGATAACAGTAACCCCAAAAATCTTGTGACTGAATTTAATACACCATCGGCATCTATACAAACCATTTACACGCATCCCAACGCCGAGGAAAAGAGGACTTATTCCTCCAACGATAAAGGTCCATTTGTAGTGCAAGTTTCTCGTTTGGAGTCTGCTCCAGATAGTGGTTTGACACTAAGACCTGTTAAATTTGGTCAATTTCTTTTTCAAAATAAAATTAAAAACATCATAAATGGCAGCCTCAAGTCTGTCGGTCGCAATAGACTGTCAATGGAATTTGCTTCAGCACATGAAGCAAATAATTTTGTGCGAAACCCAATCCTTAGTCAGGCCGATTACAAGGCAATTATTCCTACACACATAATTACCCGTATGAGTGTGATCAGATGTGTACCGAATGACCTAACAATGGACGAACTAGTGGAGAGTCTACCTTCTGGGACTGGCGATACTCTTAAAGCCCGTTGTCTCAACAGCAAGTTGACGCACAATAATGAGCTACTGAGTGGGTTCTCACCCAATCTGTCATTTTCTGGTCAATCCTTGCCACAGCATGTTTACTTATTCTACTCCTCTCTCCCTGTGGAAAACAATCTCCTCCCCACCATTACTGAATGGTAGTTCAAGCACTGGCTTGAAATGCTGCAGCTTTGGCCATGTCAAAGCACAATGCCGATCTAAACCTGGGTGCTACAATGCGCCCAACCTCACCCCGGGTAATCATGTAATGTTACTACCCCAACATGTCTGTACTGTTCAGCTCTGCACTAATCTAATGACAAGAAATGTCCTGAACTTTCACGACAAATGTCAATAAAGTTTGTAATGTCCCAAGAAAAAGTATCCTACTTGGAAGCTTCCCAGCCGTCAGGCGATCTTTTGCCGACGTTGCATCTGCACCCACACATATATCATATGTCTCATTGTCCCCTCCACAATCCTCCTCCTCCTCTGGTACCACTTCATACAGAAAAACTGTTACAATAAATCAAAAAGCAAAGTCCCCTAGCGAAACTTCAGGCTATGACAAACAAGCCCATAGAGATATAATCGCAACTCCCACTTCCTCTTTACTAAACGGTTCTGCCTTATTAAATAGGGCTAATACATCTATCTGACAATGATAACTTCCTTGATTTATTAGTTTGTACACTTTTAAATATTCTGCCTCGTTTTGAAGACACCGATTTACCGTCTTACGTGCTTAATAAACTTGCCCCTATTATTAATAAATATAAAAATAGATCTGTTCCTTCTGCAGTGGAACTGTCGGAGTATCAGACTTAAAAAGTCTAATCTCATATTTCTTATAAATAAATATAAACCTGTTATTATCATCCTTTTGGAGACATGGCTGGTTCCGGGATCGATATTCCGTATTCCGGGCTATTCATGTGTTCGGGAGGATCGTGCAGATGGGTATGCAGGTACTCCAATTTTAATAAAACATTCTACTATTTTCCACAAAATTTCCCTTCCTGACCACAGTACTAATGAAATTATTGCTGTTGCAATCAGGGCTTTTAATATCTCATTCATGTCAGTCTCTGTATTCCCCACCCACATCACTCTCTCAATCCTGAGCTTAATCTACTGTTTTCTGCCATCAGTTCTCCTCTCATGATCTTTGGGGACTTTAATAGCCACCACAGAGCTTGAGGTTCCTACAGAAATTGACGAGTCTAACTTATGTTTTATCAATGACGCAGAATATCCTACTCGCAGATCTTTCCCTAACCAGGATACTAGACGAGCTGTGGACACTTTTTTTTTGTTACTTTGTGCTCTCCTGTCTTAGCGCCCAGTTCTACTCTTCCATATATTAGGGGTTAAAGTATGAAATTGCCGTTTTATTGCAATAG